AATTGGTGTAAGTGAAAATTAGCTTTGAAGAAGCAAGATATGAAGAATCTTGATGCTTTGGTGTTGAAGAAAATTCCTGAGAAGACTGTGGAAAGCCAAAAAAAAAAACAAAAAACCCCAAAACAAACAAACCAAAAGCAAACAAAACCCAACGAATCATCAAACAAATGGATCCAGAGTTCCCACTCAAGGCACAAATGACCAGGATAAAATTACCCATTATCCAAAGGCCTGGAGCTCCCTAGAGAAACCTCAAATGCTGGGAAAAGTGGAATGAAAAAGAAGAAGGAAGACCAGCAATAAGGTAGGTGGACTCAGTTACACTGGCAATGGGTGCGCAGCCGGAAGCCATAGAGGACTAGGTCAGGGACAGACTGCCATGGAGAAAATCTATCTATGGATTTCTAAGAGTTGATCCCTACTTGATTGCACATAATCAATTAATCAATCAACACTTCACAAGATGGAAGGGATTCCCATATCAGAATATTTTATGAAACAGACCAAACTCAAGTCTTTCTGCATCATAAATCAGTATCCAAGATAGCATATAGAGCACTGCCACATCTTATAGCTTTAGGCTGGTAATGCAAAGTTGTTGTATCAAGAACAAAGTCCAATATGCAGGTACAAAGGTCGAAAATAAAGATCTCAATGTTTCAAATGTGGCTGCTGAAACAGTAGGTTTGTAGGAAGACATTTCTAAAATACAACTTCCAAGCGGCACATTTGACCAGAACGATGGAACTACTAAAAAGAATGCTGATACTAACAACAGTGGTATTATGAATTAACTTAAAAATTTTCATTTCCTAATTCAAAAATTGTTGCTATTGCTGCTATATATTTTTGTTGACTTATCTGCTCAGACAGGGAAACCTGAGAAACAGTATGATACAGTGGTTAAAATACTGGATCTGAATTTAAAAAACAGCATATCTTTGGCCATTAACAGTATCTCATTTTATCTCTTTCTCAAGAATTATAATGATAGAAGGAATTAAATCCATGAAAAGAAGATGCAAATGTAATAAATATCTATATGATCATGTAACTTTATTATAATTACAATATTTTATACCCTTTTAAAAGATAATATTCTCAAAGCAGTTTACAAAATAAAAGTATAGAATACAACAAACTAAAAACATGATACAAATAAAAATAATAATTAAGTGTTAAAATATAACAGAGAAAACAATGGAATAAAACCTCCAAGGATTGAAAACAAATTAATAGGATGGCAGATCCTGTCTTTTGTCCCTACTCATCTGACAGATCTAATTGGTAGGCACATGAGAGAAGGCTTCCATAGCTAATCTTAGCATTCAGACAAGTTCATACAGGTTTAGAATGGTATGCTACTTCCTTTGTCAGTGGGGTTTTGGATTATCAAACAGTGTGCAAATACAACTTCAGAGTAGTGCACAAGCCAAAGAAGCATTTGAACATACTATTCTAGTGAACTCTGAAGAATAGTATTTTATTGTAAAATTAAAGAACAGTCATTTTGGTTGTGTTCGGGAATACATTACATTCAGTGATATAACAAAATGATTTTGAAATGAATTAAAAACTTCATGCATTTGGATAACATATATCCTAAGCATGACTTATCAGATACAAGCAATGCAAAGATAGCTATATCAAATCAATTAGTCAGCTTCAATCAGACACATTACATTTAAACCAAACCATGGACGACTATTTTCTGGCTGGGTTGTTGGGGACAAGGTAAGCCAATAGTTGGAAGCAGGAATGTTCACTGATATCCAGATTGGTCTTTGCTGTATTGTTCAACAGGTCCACTATAAATACAATCAAATAACAAAGATGTCAGGCATCACCCCATTACCACTATCAAAATACAGGATGAGACAATTCTTGATTTCCTTCATGTCAGGGGGAAAAGAAAATTTAAAGTGCTTTGACATAAAGCGGTTAAATCAGCATTAAATGCAATGTACTTATCTTTTGATTTTTATTTAAAATTATCACTAAATAGACTATAAAAAGCAGTTTTATAAACCAAAATAATTACCAGTTAGACTTAATTTCTTCTATATAAATTTCAAACTGAAAACTAAAATGCAGGAAAGAGAATAATTTTTATGAGCTCAAGTGAAAGATTTGTTACCTGTTCTACTGGGTACATGCATATCATTAGCAAATGTGACCTAGATATTCTTTCTCTTCCAATTTATGTGATGTGTTTCAGTCTATGACCAATCATTTCCTCCAAAATGAAGACCAAGAAATAGCTACTTCCTCTAAAGATACAATACATCAGATTCCTACCCTAAAAGATGCTTCTTTCTTCTACTGCCCCAGGATAGGCAAGCTACTGGATAAATTACAGCTTGGTGATTTGGCACCTTTTTTGTACAGAGAGATTCCAGCTGGATCAGATAGTAAATAAACGCTTTAGACTCTAGGGACAATCAATTAATTAGAATACTTAATCTTAACCTAAATGGACAAGTACAGTAGTCTAATATCATAGAAGCCAGTTATCTATATTAATGTTGATGAATAAAGGATGTCTTTATTAGGCTGGAGTCATTGTGAACTTTCACAAAAATAATTCTCAATAAATAGGATTTATGAGTCAACATTCGTAGGACTGCATAATTAATATGTTAGCATTTCTTATCACTTCACTTCACTTATATAGACATCAGGTTGCCACAGAATGCTTTTTTACTAAAAATGTCTGCTTTAGAAATATATTTATCCTTTACCCTCTCATTTGAAACAATCATCTCCATAGAGAGCTCTCAACACCCAATCCTCTTTGGTCACTTTTTCAACAGAACACAAGGAAATTCCATTTTAGGGATAAAAGCTTTTAATTTGGCAAAAAAAAAAAAAATTGTTACTCACTCTTATGAAGTATTATGTAGAACAAGTTTTTCAACATTTTATTTGGCATCAGCCCTTTCTGAACCCATTATTAATTCATTGAGACCCTATTAAGATCATGTGATCTACATCAATGCTGTCCAAATCTGATTCTCCAGACATACTGGACAATTTCCTCCATTTATTTGCCTAATATCCTTTTAAGCCATCACTACAACTTCTGGCAATAATGTTTACAACTTTGTGCTGTAGACAAAGATGTAGGTTTCCTGGAAAATTTTGAATTGAAAAAAAAATTCTACACAAATAAATTTGTTACCAGTAGTATCTACCCACCTGAGCAATTACTTTCCCCAGAGACAATACTTTCCGAATCAAGCTAGGAACCACCCCCACCATGTGGCTTATATGCAAAATATATCAGTTAGCTACTTCTTCTTTTTCTCTACATTTTCTCTGATAATAAACCGAGACAGGAAAAGCTATGGGGAAGTCACAAGTCATAATTGGAATATAATGTTATTTGAACTCTCATCAAATTCAGTGAATGGTAATAAGCAGATGTAGAATAGAACTCTTGTCTGTAAACACCTCAACAGTCTCCAGATTGTCCTCATAATCTCTGTTGCTTACAACAAGCCGGTAAAGACTATAGAGTCTTCTTAAAACCAACTGAAAGCAAACAGTAGTATTTAAAAACTTGGCTTGAACAGACAACCAAGGTCAAAATCTTATCCAGCTACAAGGTTCCCTCAGCAATCATCTCTTCAATCATAGATCTGTCAAATAACAAACATGTATAATTCATGTCTAAAACATTGGATTGTTTTAGGGAATCATCACTTTTGCAAAATACAGAATAACAGAGTTTGAAAGGATCTTGGAGGTCTTCTAACCCAATCCCCTGCTTAAGCAGGAGACCCTATACTATTTTAGACAAATGGTTGTCCAATCCCTTCTTAAAAGCCTCCAGTGTTGCAGCACCCACAACTTCTGAAGGCAAGCTGTTCCACTGGTTGATTGTTCTTACTGTCAGGAAATTTCTCCTTAGTTCTAGGTGGCTTCTCTCTTTGTTCACTTTCCATCCATTGCTTGTCTTGCTTTCAGGTGCTTTGGAGAATAGGTTGACCCCCTCTTCTTTGTGACAGCCCTTCAAATATTGCAACATTGCTATCATGTCACCCATAGTTCTTTTCACTAGACTACATACCCAATTCCTGCAATTATTCTTCCAAAAAGCTGCCAGTTATTATATACATTTCCTCCCGCATCCCAACCACTTGCTTTTTCTAATTTCTGGTGTAAAATGGGCAAGCTCCAATTCCCATCATTCATACAGCAGGGGATGATGGGAGTTGAAACCCACCAGCTCTACATCTAAAGGAACCTGTCAGTCTCCCAGCCTAGAAGGTTTCCTTAGACTCTCTCCACCTCTGATCGTTCCTTTACCAACAGACTCTCTCCCTTCCCTTCCATCTCCCGGCCCCCATGGGCTCTCCTGCCACACCAACAGGCTGCTCACCGCCTTCTAGCCCAGCCTCAAAAAAATCGCCCCTTCACCCATTCCTCGGGGATACTGACTCCCCAGGCCACCGCCCCTCGCTATGGCTCCCGCGCCTGGGCTGTCAAAACACGGCTGGCCACTAGATGGAGGTAAAGATTCAATACTTCCTTGTCTCTCCTTGCTAGCACCCTGCCGGTCGCCTAGATGGGTTCCAGCCCATATACGGCAGCATGACCCTCGGGCCCCAGACACACCCAGCCGGCGAGCCCGGCTGGTTGGAAGCCCGCGGGGACGCCTTCTGAGTCCCCCTCTCCCAGGAGAAGAGAGCCCCGCCAGAGCTGCCAACTCCCTTTCCCTTCCCGCCGAGGAGCGCCTTCCTCTCACGGGCCAAGCTGGCCTGGACTACCGGTCCCCGCTCACCCGAGCCCGTGGTGGCCGCCATCTTGCGCCGCTGTCGCTCCAAGGCCGCCCTCCCCACCGCTCACGTCACTTCAACGCGGGAAGAGAATTGCTGCTGCGGCTAAGGCAAGTGGCTGCGGCAGCCGGAGAGCGGGCGGGCGCAAGACAGGAAGAAAAGGCGACAGCCGCAGGCCACCCAGACCAAAGCCTCTCCACTTCTGAGTTGGGGTTTGTTTTTCTGGTGCAAATATACTATTTGGAAACGAGCACATCCGGGAGGGCACGTTTCACTTTCTAATCAGCCTTGTAGGGAGTTAAAATTTGGGAGCAGCCACAGAAGGGTATTTTTTGAGGGGAGGGCTTGGAAGAAAAAAGATTGGTGGAAAAAACTGCTGCCGGAGTAAATCTCTCTAGCTTGAATTACGGAGATGTAGAGCCCAGGCTGGCATAATAAATCAGGAAGCACGAAAGCGACTTAATAGCCAATATAAGAGTTTCCTTCCTGAAAGCCTAATTTCTAGTTGGTTTGCCTAATATGTAGTTTCATGCGAAATGCCTGTCCTATTATTGCACAGAAATTAGCCCCTCTTCTCATCGCCAGTTTTACGTTGGATATGTCTGCACACAAAACATGAAAACGTATTTTCTGTAGAATGCGGCAGTTTTCCCCAGTCTGGTGTTAGGTTGACTGTGGATAATAAGGAAGATGGTCCATCGCATTTGAAGGACATGAAGTTTGGATCGTAAGTAAAACAATGGTTTCAAAATTCCCATATTTGAGAAATCTAGTATGTTGCAAAAGACCAGTGTCTCCCCAATCTTACAATCTTTTAAGATGTTTGACTTCAGCTGTCAGAATCCTCCAGCCAGGCATGCCTCCTGAGAAATTCTGGGAGTTGAAGTTTACACAGGCTAAACCTAAAGCTTCTGAGGTTGAGAAGTACAGGCAGTCCTCCATTTACAACAGTTTAGTGACGTCCAAAGTTCCAATAGCAGTGAAAAAAAGTGATTTATGACCATTTTTCACACTACCGTTGCAGTATCCCCATGGTCACGTGATTAAAATTCACATGCTTAACAACTAACAATAACAATAATAATACAGTTGGAAGGGATCTTGGAGGTCATCTAGTCCAACCCCCTGCTCAGGTAGGAAACCCTATATCATTTCAGACAAATGGATGTCTAGTCGCTTAAAAACTTCCCAGTGTTGGAGCAATCACTGCTTCCGGAGGCAGGTTGTTCCACAGGAAGTTTCTCCTTAGTTCTAGGTTGCCTTTCTCCTTGATTAGTTTCCATCTGTTGCTTCTTGTCCTGCCTTCAGGCACTTTGGAGAATAGCTTGACACCCTCTTCTTTGTGGCAACCCCTGAGATACCCAATTCCAGCAACCGTTCCTTATATGTTTTAGCCTCCAGTCCCCTAATCATCTTTGTTGCTCTTCTCTGTACTCTTTCTAGAGACTCAACATCTTTTTTACATCGTGGTGACCAAAACAGGATGCAGTATTCCAAGTGTGGTCTTACCAAGGCATTGTAAAGTGGTATTAATACTTCTTGTGATTTATCAAATTTATCAAACTCATGAAATTTGCAGACGACACCAAGCTGGCAGGAATAGCCAACACTCCAGAAGGCAGACTTAAGATACAGAAGGATCTGGACAGACTTGAACACTGGACGCTATCTAACAAAATGAAATTCAATGGTGAAAAAAGCAAGGTTCTACATTTAGGCAAGAAAAACCAAATGCACAGCTATAGTATAGGGGATACCTTGCTGAATAGTAGTAACTATGAGAGGGACCTCGGAGTCCTAGTGGACAATCACCTAAATATGAGCCAGCAGTGTGCTGCAGCTGCCAAAAAGGCCAACACAGTGCTAGGCTGCATTAACAGAGGGATAGAATCAAGATCATGTGACATGTTAATAACACTTTACAATGCCTTGGTAAGGCCACACTTGGAATACTGCATCCAGTTTTGGTTAGCACGATGTAAAAAAGATGTTGAGACTCTAGATATAGTACAGAGAAGACCAACAAAGATGATTAGGGGACTGGAGGCTAAAGCACATAAAGAACGGCTGCTGGAATTGGGTATGTCTAGTTTAATGAAGAGAAGGACGAGTGGGAACATGATAGCAGTGTTCCAATATCTCAGGGGCTGCCACAAAGAAGAGGGAGTCAAGCTATTTTCCAAAGCGCCTGAAGGCAGGATAAGAAGCAACGGGTGGAATCTAAGCAAGGAGAGAAGCAACCTAGAACTAAGGAGAAACTTCCTGACAATTAGAACAATTAACTAGTGGAACAATCTGCCTCCAGAAGTGGTGAATGCTCCAACACTGGAGGTTTTTAAGAAGAGACTGGACAGCCATTTGTCTGAAATGGTATAGGGTTTCCTGCCTGAGCAGGGGGTTGGACTAGATGACCTCCAAGGTCCCTTCCAACTTTACTACTACTACTACTACTACTATTATGGATCCTCTGTTAATGCAGCCTAGCACTGTGTTGGCTTTTTTTGACAGCTGCAGCACACTATTGAACAAGATACCACCTATACCAGGGGTAGGCAACCTCTGCTCTTTTATGACTCATGGACTTCAACTCCCAGAATTGGAGAGTTGAAGTCCATGAGTCATAAAAGAGCAGAGGTTGCCTACCCCTGACTTATACTATACCTGTACAGTTGGTTTTTCTTGCCTACTTTTTTCACCATTGAATTTCATTTTGTTAGATAGCGCCCAGTGTTCAAATCTGTCCAGATCCTCCTGTATCTTAAGCCTATCTTCTGGAGTGTTGGCTATTCCTGCCAGCTTGGTGTCATCTGCAAATTTGATGAGTTTCCCATCTATCCCCTCATCCAAATCATTGATGAAGATGTTGAAGAGCACTGGGCCTAGAACAGATCCCCTCCATGTGGATGCAATTCCATTGAGGACCGGATGGTCAGCCAGCTACGAATCCATCTGGTGGTGATGCTGTCTAACCCACATTTTTCTATCTTATCAAGTAGTAGATTGTGATCTACTTTATCAAATGCCTTACTGAAGTCCAAGTAAATTATATCCACAGCATTCCTGTGGTCCACTAATTTTGTCACTTGGTCAAAGAATGTAATAAGGTTTGTCTGACATGATCTGTTTTTGACAAACTCATGTTGGCTTTTAGTAATAACTTTGTTTGCCTCTAAGTGTTCACTGATAGTTGTTTGATTATTTTTTCCAGAATCTTCCCAGGTATTGAGATCAGGCTGATAGATCTATAGTTTCCTGGATCTATTTTTTTCCGTTTTTTGAAGATGGGAACTACATCAGCTTTCTTCCAGTCCTGTGGTAGTTCCCCAGTGCTCCAGGATCTTTGAAAAATATAGTTCAGTGGTTCTGAAATCACATCTGCCAGTTCCTTGAGAATCTTGGGGCGTAATCCATCTGGTCCTGGTGATTTGAACTTGTCTAGGCTGGACAGGTGCTCACTTACCATTTTCTTGCCTATCTTAACTTGTGTTTCTAATCTGTTTTTTATGGCACTATTTTTGATAGGTTGGACTGTTTTTTCCCTTTGTGTAAAGACAGATGCAAAAACCGAGTTAAATAGTTCTGCTTTTTCCCTGTTGCTTGTCACCTTCTTGCCACCATATTTATGACATTTGCAGTGTCCCAGGATCATGTGATCACCTTTTGTAACCTGACAAGCAAAGTCAGTGGAGAAACCAGATTCACTCAAAATTGTGTTGTTGATAAGGCCACACTTGGTAAAGCCACACTTGGAATACTGCATCCAGTTTTGGTCACCACATTCTAAAAAAGATGTTGAGACTCTAGAAAGAGTACAGAGAAGAGCAACAAAGATGATCAGGGGACTGGAGGCTAAAACATATAAGGAACGGTTGCTGGAATTGGGTATGTCTAGTTTAATGAAGAGAAGGACGAGGGGTGACAGGATAGCAGTGTTCCAATATCTCAGGAGCTGCCACAAAGAAGAGGGAGTCAAGCTATTCTCCAAAGCATTTGAAGTCAAGACAAGAAGCAATGGATGGAAACTAACTAAAGAGAGAAGCAACCCAGAACTAAGGAGAATTTTCCTGACAGAACAATTAACCAGTGAAACAACCTGCCTTCAGAAGTGAATGCTCCAACACTGGAAGTTTTTAAGAAGAGACTGGGCAGCCATTTGTCTGAAATAATATAGGGTTTCCTGCCTGAGCAAGGAGTTGGACTAGATCAGGGGTCCCCAACCCCTGGTTCGTGGACCGGTACCGGGCTGCAGCATGCCAGCAACCGGTCCACACAAACAAGCAAAGCCCCATCCATGGGATTCAGGCAGCACACAAAACCACGCACTTTCTGGTCCATGGAAAAACCTTTCTCCACGGAACTGGTCCCTGGTGCCCAAAAGATTGACCTCTGGAGTAGATGACCCCCAACGTGCCTTCCAACATCATTATCATCATCATCATCAATAATAATAATAATAATAATAATTATTATTATTAACAACTGTCGTGATCCACTTAACAAATGTTGCAAAAAAAGTCATAAAATGGGACAAAACCCATTTAACAAATTTCTCACTTAGAAACATAAATGTTGGGCTCAGTTATGGTCATAAGTTGAAGACTACCTGTACAGATTTAGACCCTTTGAATCTAGACCTATACAACATGAAGGCTTGGCTTGGCTGCATATACAGTAATTAGTTGCATTGCAGAGAGAAGGCAGCGGGACCCCTTCCTTGAAAATAATTTTGTGCCTTCGAGCCAGTATTGACTACTGGTGACTACATGGACAAATCTTCAATTTTCTTGGAACTTTTTAAAACAATTTGCCTTTGCTTTCTTTTTCCTCCTAGGGCTGAAAGAGGAAGACTGCCCCTGCGCCTAAGGTAGGATTAGACTCATTATCTCTGGGTTTCTGGCTGAATGTCTTTAAACACTGTTCCAAATCTCCATTCAAAACCTAATCACCAGAAATAATAATTTTCTGTATTCAGGTAAAACTGACCCATTAAAACAGAACCTCCCCCTCTCAAAACTGCTATGATGTAGATGGGAAGGTTCACTGTGGGTGGCTGTGCCTAGTTGATCTTGGCTAATCTCCAAATAAAAAGAAAAAGGCCTAAGTAAATCAGAATTGTTTAGTTTGAAAACTAGTTAGCTAGAAAATCTATGTGGGTAGGTTTTCCCAGACTAGGTTAGAAAAACATCCTGAAGAAAGGCAAACCACTTTCACATTGTTGCTACCAAAATTACATGACTGTGTCTGTGTTATTACCAGGAGTTGACCTCAGTCGGAAAGTCTTTTTAGATCAGAAGAACGGAGCAGGGGAGTTCAAATAAGCATGGCACTACTCAGAATGTTAAAAGACTCTGGAAATATATATTTTACAACATTGGGCCAAAATGGCAAAGGGAAGAGAGCTCTAAGAAGATAATAAAATCTACTAATGGTGTATACCAGTGCTTATCAGCCTAGCAGCTTGAAAGTATGTGGACTTCAGTAGTTGAAATTCACACATCTTGAAGATACCATGGTTGAGAAAAAATGATGTATACAAAGAAAAGATGCTGCTTGATTCCTATGGAAACTGGCCACTTTCCCAGTGAATACGGTTCCAAACCATCAATACAAATTAAACTGTGATTTGTATGTTCTAGCACAGAGGTTCCCAACCAGGGGTGCTCGCTCCCCCTTAGGGTGCAAGATGATATTCCAGGGGGTGCGAAAACTTGGATTTAGAAGTTTCAAAATTATTTTTTATGTTCACGTCATTCAACATTTTTTAAAATAAGTTTATTACTTTTGTAAGGGGAGCGAGAATATATCAGAAGTGTTCTAGGGATGCAGGGTATAGAAAAGGTTGGGAATCGCTGTTCTAGCAGAAATCATGGAAACTCAAGAGGGTGTTTGTTGAAGTCCTGCTGTAGTCCCAGTACAAATCTGGGAGATTGAAAATTTCTGATCATATTTCCCCATCTTTGGACTATTTGGCTCTTCTGTAATATCACTAGGGAAGGAATGTAAACCACCATCCTTACTAAAACCCTCTAGGGAGAATTAATTCTGAACGTCAGAAAATTACTGACATAGAACAACCCATACATATTATAACTGCAGCAGTTCACATGCTATAGTTGCACTTAAAACCTCAGTGGGAAAGCTAGAATTTTGACTTCCTGTTTTCCTCAAGAATTCAAGTTAAAATATTCCTGACAGATTATTGATATCCACTTTACCACATCCAATGAAGAGCTCAATTCCACTCTATAAATCACTGATTCCATTGCTAGCTGCTCTTCCTGTTAAGAAAGTTTTTAACACACATTCAGCTGGAATCTGCCCTACTGGAATCCAAATCTATTATTTTGTGTGCTGCATTCGAGCCGAGGTGGCGCAGCAGTTAGAGTGCAGTACTGCAGGCCACTTTAGCTGACTGTGTTCAGCAGGTCAGCGGTTCAAATCTCACCAGCTCAAGGTTGACTCAGCCTTCCATCCTTCCGGGGTAGGTAAAATGAGGACCCAGATTGTTGGGGGCAATGTAAATATATATATATATATACATTGCTTACTGGTGTACACCGCTTAGAGAGTGCTTGCACTTAAAGCGGTATATAGGTCTCATAAATAAATAAAATAAATTTGAGAGGAGATAGGATTGGTTCCCACCTTGATATTTTTCTGGAAGACCTTGAAAACATCATTCTGTCAGCAGACCTGGGGATCCCAGATTTATATGGAGCTGATCAAATGGTTGGTTTGTGTTTGTTGCTGCAATGAGAGGGTGAGGTTATTTGGAGTTTATACTGTGGATTTTTCATGTTGTAAGCTGCCTGGAATCAATGTGTGTGAATAGATCTTCACCCTCTTCTGTATAACTTCATTTCAGATATTTGAAGAACACTATCAGATTTCCACTTTATTTTTTCCAGGGCAAAGCATGTCTAGCTCCCTCAAGCCTTCTTCACTAGATTTAGTTTTCATTCTCTTTAATTGTCCTTCAACAGCTCTTAGTCCTTAGAGCTTGGTGCCCAGAATGCATACAGTACTCAAAGTGAGGTCTGACCAGTACTGAGCATAGAGGAACTTTCTTCCTGTGCTTTGGAAAGTTTACTCTTGTGGGTGCATTCTAAAATTACATTTGCCTTTAAGGCTATGTGTATGAGTATGAAAAAAATTAAAATGGTAATCTACACTTGTGTGGTTGAACAGTAATCTTTTTTTTAATATGCTGCTCACAGCAACACATGTAAATGACAGGGCTTCAATCATGTGGTTCTAGTCACCACGTTGACCTTCCCTGTGGATGCCTCGTTTGCCTTTTTTTCCCTAGCTGCATCATGCTGCTGACTTGGATTTAGCTTTTGATTACCTACAGTTCAACTGATATCGAATCAGGTATTCAGAATTAGGAATTTAATTTCTTTCTTTTTTTTTTGAGTTACTACTTTGGGGTGTGTTTTTCTTCAATAGTTGAGTGATAGAACAACTTCTTTTAAAGTTATGGAGTCTTTCTAGAGTTACTTATTATGTAGTATCAGCAGGAATAACAGCACATTCAAGCCCTTTAAAAGAATGTCTATATTCCCATGTTTGTTTTTTATGGTTGCAATATCTATCTTTGACCAGCAGGTGTCTTCAACTACCTAAAAATGATGCTGTGACAAAGTTGAGAAACTGAAAAGGTGAATTTAAAGGTGCAGAATTCCCTTATTTTATTTTTTATCAAGACTAGCTTAATAAAAGCTAAGACAATTATGTATGAAAATATTTCTTTCTGAAAAGCTTTCATTCTGCAACTATACCTTTAAGATCATCAAACATCCACCGCTTCCTATCCCGGGTCCTTGGGAACGACTGGATAGGTGGACAAAACACCCAAATCTAGTCTGATATCTCACTATGTGACAACCTTAATAATACACAATAATACAATCCATTGGAGACTTTCAGTGGAGACAGTGAGAACTGTTCATTTATCAGTATAGTATTCTTTAAGATTTCTGCTTTTCATGCCTGGCTCAATATGGCTACCAGGCTAGAAATGGACTTTAATTACAGTCTGGCTTAAATTCTTGGTCTCTCATTCCCCAATATTTCTGAAAAATTGTATACTAGTGATTCTGAAATCTTTGTAACATAAACAACATCATAGAAAAAAAACACCATGAACTTTGAAATTGATGTCCAAGCATGAACAGAAAACATCTAAGTTTTGTAGATAAATGTCTGGAGATTCTCAATCATTCTAGGTCAATGATGGGGAACCTTTTAGAGACTGAGTGCCCAAACTGCAACCCAAAACCCACTTATGTATCGTCGGGTGCCGGGTGGGTGTGGCCCATTGGGTGGGCATGGCTTCGGTGATAACGGCAGATTGGGTGGGACTAAAAAGTTCAATCAATTCCAACTTTCCAAGATCTTTTTTTCCCTACGAGAAGTTGAAATTGATTGATTGATTGAACTTTTTTTTTTTTTCCACACAGCAGCGGAGGCCTAAAGCGAAAAGGTTTTATAAAACCCAGCTGAAGGCCTAGGACTGGGGCGACGGTGCGCGTGCCCACAGAGGGCTCTGCGTGCTACCTGTGGCACGCATGCCATAAGTTCGCCACCACTGTTCTAAGTCACGGTTGTCCCAAAGGGCGACTGGACTTTTTTTTTAGGGGGGGGGGCCTTGAAAACATTTCATTTCTCATCCTAGAACCTGAACTGAAGAAGCTTCTTGGATGAGAAGTGAAATGTTTTCAAGGAAAAAAAAAAAACAAAGTCCTGTTGCCTTTTGAAAAGCACCTTTGGGACGATTTCGTAGATGATCTTTGACAGAATTAGTTTGGCAAATTACTTCAGCAAAATAATTATTTCTAAAACAAATGAAACATAAACATCTATCAGATCCTTCAAACATTTAATACATTTATTGTGGCAGGTAAAGCTTAGGAACATAATTAAGAGTCAGAATAGAAAAATAAAAACAATCAATTAAAAAAGTGTGAATGTTTTATTGGTTTTTGTTCAACTAGACCTGGAGACATGCCAATTCAGATTCCGGTCTAGTATGAAGTTTACTTGTAATTAAGGGAACTATTTTCTTCCCTTAGTATAACGTTGTAAGAAAGTGTAGGTTTGGAAAAAAAGAGGGAAAAATAAATATTGAGACTTGCCTTGGGTGGGTGGAGTGTATGTTCAAGCAAGAAGTGGGCAGTTGCAGACTTTTCCTTGATCTTGCACTCAAAATGGGCCCTCTGTAAAGTCAATGGTGCACAGTTGGTTTCTGCAAGCATTGATATAAATCATAATATGGCAAGAGTCATGAGCAGAGCACTAGGCTTAGGGGTTCCTTTCTTGTACAATCAGTACTTCCAGGGCAACGTGGTTGATTGGCTGCTTTCGCTGCCTTTGGTCCAAGTGGCTTATCAGCTAGAATAACTAGTGTGATTTTTTGTATCAGTTATTCAGTTCAAAACTTTACTGTAATATTCCAAAATAAAACCTGATACTTAATGAAGCATTCAGTGCTTTTCCCATGTAAGCAAAGCTGACCCTGCAAATGGTCATGGGAGAATCTTCTCATATCAGAATTGTGTTCCTTGTGTTGTGGAGTAAAATTTTGCTACAGAAGAGGTGACTTCTCTCAGTTCTCAGCTAGCTAATATAAATCTTTTCACTACAATATTTTTAAATACTGGTTGGAGAAGTCATCATCTTAAATTGGAGGAAAAAAGGCTCAGTCTAGAAAAAAGTCTTCCATGGGAGTACATTATACCTGATCCAATGGGCTTCCACGAATTTGCCTTCCTGCATGGCTAAAGGGAGAATGTCTACTATGTACACGATTTTTTATTCTTCCCTGTAATCTGACACTCATTTATACTGCTCTGAATTTCTGGGCCATGGAATAAAATAGTAGCAAAAGGCAAAGTTCCAGTATTTGCAAGCATGAATTGCTGTTAGCTAATAAGACAGAAAATGACATCTCACCTGTGGGAAAGGAGAAAGCAGAAGGAAAAGGCTCAAAATGACCATGCTGTGATTTGGATGGTGTTAAAGGGCAGAAGGGAATGTGGACAGGTTTTCAAAATTCTGTGATACCCTACAACATTTTTCAACTTTTAAGATTTAAGGACTTCAATTTCCAGAATTCCCCAGCCAACTTGCATGTGCACGTACACAGACACACACAGAGTATGAGAGAGATAATTCAAAGCCATAATTTAAAAGCTATGTTTCAGTAGAACAATACAAACTGAAATGCTTCACTGTTGTTATTGTTATGGCATTAGACTAGAAACAAGGAGACTGTGAATTCTAGTCTTGCTTTAAAACACAAAGCCAACTGAATGACAGTCACTTTTAGCCCTAGGAAGGAAGCAAGGGAAAACCACTTCTAAAAATCCTTCCCAAGAAAACTGTAAGCACTCCTTTAGGCATTCAAAAGGAATCAACACTGACCTGAAGGAAAAAACACCCCCCAAAACAAAAATGGACTGTTCCAAGTAAGAAATACACTCAAACTTGTCCCAAGGTTTAAAATCTTAATCAGAAATCCTGCTATCACAGTAACGCTGAGAGACTCTCTGTGATACTTTTTCTATGGATTGTTCTTCAGAAGTGGCACATGTATCTCTTTTGTTTGCCTTCATCTGGTTTTTAATTAAATCTCTTTTCTTAGTTTCCATTTGGTTAATTTTAGTGTTCTCTGTTTAAACTAAGATTTTAGTGTGCCAAAGGCAAAATGCTATCCAGGCAAGACATATCAGAGTCAGGGTGTGAAGTTAAGAATTTGTTCTTAAACAGAAAAATCTCAAACATACAAGGAAGAGGGAGAACGTGCAAGCTTTTTCTTAAATTAAAAAAATACAGCCAGAAACAGTTGCATTTTAGACACAGATTAGCCTTCTAATCTCCCTAAAAAGGCACAGAAGTCTATCACAAAAATAAAAAGTGTTTTGTAGGACACTCTTGTATACAAAACAGAAAACCCACTGCTGATTTTGCTTGCGTATGCTGTTTAAAAAACCCCTGGAGGTGCAATTTTACCCTTCCCCTCAAAAATGGCAACAAGACTTAACAAATGCAATTAGTATAATTGAACTGCTTTGTTATAAATTATATACATTCAGACCACATTAAAATTATTATTCCATGTTACACCGAAGAAGTAATTAAGGCTTTGATATTTACATGAAATGAGCAAGCACCTTAATCACACACACCATTAATGTAATCCTTCTAACATTCAAATTTGACAATGACCAATTTTCTATAGCTATTTTAAACATTTTGGAAGAGGAATCAAAGTGAATAAAACCAATTACTGAACACTACATGATCCAATGGTATTGAGTCTGACATTTGTGCAGAACACAAATTCTGTCCCGCCTCACTCCCATCCCAAACTACTACAAAGTTAACTGTAGGGTGATACAGCAATGGGCAGCTCAAATATCAAGGAATGGAACAAATCTTTATTTTAGGAGACTGTCAGTTTTAAGTAACGCTAATGAACTAGGCTGAGACTCCCAAATATTCTGTTGCACACCATATGGGCAATGTCTTGATATGATAGCAAGATGAAGCAACTGGAAGGATGCACCAAACACTAAGTGCATTAAAGTGATGACAATACCTTTCCCTCCGATTCTCAGGTAGCAACTGGGAGCTAGTTTGTGAACTTTGCCATTCCATATGGCCTTAAATCGTTTTCAGAGTGGGAATTCATGTTGATACAACACATTACAGTGCCAATGACAAATGTTACTAGGAAGGTACACTGCCTTCTCCAGCTAATGGCTTTGAAGTGTCAAGGATGACAATGTTCAATTATCAGCAAATGTGGCTAACAGAAGGTGCTCAGTAACAGACAAGAATTATCCATTTGCATTTTTCAAGTATTGTTTTAAGGAGTGAGTCTTTTAACTGCAGTCTGTTAGCACTTTTTAAAAAGCTTTGTGCTTTAGTCCATTAACTCTCTGCAAGTCTTTTAATTTGGCTGATGGCTTTTTTTCTTTTAAAAAAATTGGCAACAGGTTTTCACAACAGCAGAAGCCTGGCAAGAGTTATTTTATTTTCTGGGCCCATTTCATGTCATCTGCTCTGGGTTTTTCTCCTGTCAGTCCTTCAATGATATTTTCCATGAATCTCCAAAATCTCATTTTTTCCAGTGGGTAATTCAGCCAGCCTAGAAAGATTATAGAAGAGGAGCAATATGTGAGTGTAAATTGTCAAGCAGCATTTTTGGTAACTGAATTAAATTGTTTTAAGATACTATTGCATAAAATGAATGTAAGAAATAAAGATGTCATTTTAACAGAGAAAGGTGCAATTTTCAGTTTTATTCACACTGTGGAATTGTTTTGAAATTATTCCTCTGATTATTGAAATCCATACAAGAGCATTCCAAAGCCATTTAGAATGGCAGACTTTTAATGGTGAACTTCACACATTAAAATATCTCCTGGTTTATCTAAGGTCTGTTGAACTCAAGTTGAAACACATCAAACCACACTAAATTATGTTTGGGGTTAACATGTGAATCTATAAGCTATGGTTTATAGCTTAGCATACCAGACTTGACACATTCAGTAAACCATGACTTACAGTGAATGTGAACCTGAGAACAGCAGTTCAATTTAGTAGGAATAGCCTTTTTAGTCAATTCTAATTTTCCATTATTTTTTTTCTCTCTTTGATCTCTGTGTAGCCAGAGCCCAGAGGAGGACATGGAACAGAACAGGAAATCATACACTAAGCAACAACAAGAACACTCGGCTGTTTTCTTTTTCAGTACCTTACAGAAATCCACCAGTTCATCTGTGTCTTAAGGAGGCTACTTAGCTAGATAGAAATTTAATTTTTGTCACTTCATTTTACCTGTCGTAATACAGAAATATGTCTCATGAGGAGACACATGGTGGATCCGGTGGTGTTTCCGTGGTAGGATAACATGCCAGTCCTGCAGAAAAATTACCCAGCGAGGAAGACCAAAGTAGGTATGAGACCACTTGTGAATTTGGTTGGTCAAGGTTGCAAATACAGACAGGGCAAAGATGTAGCACTCCCAAGGACATGTTTGGTGTAATGCTTCTAAAAATAAGAGAATACAGAATTTATTGTACTCTCACTGAACAGCAGCTAAACTGTGTGTTACAATACAACTGCATAGTAAGTTCACTCTAATAAAGAACATTTGCATCAGAAGTAACACCGTACTCCAATTTGTATAACAGACATACAGAACTGCCTACTTTATTCGCTGTTTACCCTTGCGCTTTTATTTACTCCATATAATGAAAAGCTTCATTAACCTTTTTTGGGAAATGTGTATAGAATTAAATCTATTGTCTTCAGAAGCCTGCTCACTACTCTTTAGAAGACTGTGTCTAGCTTCCTCGTGGATCTGTGGGACTCCCACTTACCTGATGATAAAGAAGCTAATTTGTAGGCCATGTTTGCCAGCGGAGCTATCGTCAACATGCAGTTATCGCCATTGGTTTCTATGAAGTCATGCCTGGTAATTGCTGTTGGATCAATGTGATGTTCTCTGAAAGGTCTGATAAATGCCTGAAAGTAGTAAAAAGCAGAAAGATGAAACTATAGTTTTTAGTTCAGATGAGGCCTTAGCACCCACAGATTTTACTGATCTACTTATGTATATACCTAAATAGATAACTGCAGGGGAGTGTCCAAAAAAAAGATCAAAATGAGAGGGGCCGTTAAAGCCCTCACTCTTTGTATGTGGCATCAATGGGACATCAGAACTGCCAATTTGGCCCCAGCAGTAGATGTACCTGATTTGTGGATCAGAGAAGAGCCATCATCCTGTCCTATCAGGATTTTGACCCTATGCAAATAATATATACTAAAAAGTTATCTAAAGCAACATAGGAAATCAAAAGCAGCACTGAGATTTGAATGTATCAAATGATTATATATTAACTATCACTTTACTGCAAGTACTATATTAGCCCAAGTCTAACCTCTTTACCTCCTCAGTATGAGTACCATGTAAGCAAATAAATGTAATATTAAAAGCTAGACATAAAGCATATCCTACAGACAGCTCTTTGTTTTTTCTTATTCATCCATCTAGAATGTTTAATTCAATACTGTATATATATGGACTTTAATATATTGCACCAAGGTTATTAAAATTGGAATGGGGGGAATGATCTGCAAATAAGGCACTGGCATTAGAATTAAGAATAAAGTATATAATAACATAAACTAGTATGGGAAATACTCCAAAAATGTAATCTGGAACTATTTTGAAGTCATAAACTATAGACAAGCTAAACACTTTAATAAACAACACTTAAATAAGATGTTTCAATATTAACTAGCATAGCTTAAATTCACAAAATGTGCTGAGATAAAATATGATTTCTTAGTTTGTGACTTAGCATGTTATGCAAAGTCAAACAAAGTGGTTTTGTTATGCCAATTCAATTGTTACTTATTTACTAAATTAGCTATGCTAACCAGGGCTGAATGTTCTGTGAAAACAGCCAAAAAGTGATAATTTATCTTTGTCTTATTTTAAAATACCTAAAAGCAACCTGTTTTATTAATGATGAATTGGTTCACATATCACAATGAAACATTAATGAAGGGTTAGTGAATGGTGCTGGAGGCTACCACACTTTCTTTTCTTCCCTTTGTGCTTGCATTTCCATCCTTGACTTACAAGGTTTGCTGTGACATTCGAATAAGAGGTTAGTTATAAATCATCATTAATCTCTAAGACTATGGTTTATTTAACTTTGATTAACTCAATAAGATGTAATTATCTAGTTTCACTATAACATGCTATGTCATAAACTGTAGTTTATGGCAATTATAGTTTAGCACAATTTATCTAATCTAAGACATATTAAGGTTTAGCACAGTATGTGAACCCCAGTAGAGATTTTTCATCAACTATTATCTATCTTAAGTATACTGAACTCATAAGCTCTAGATCAGGGGTGTCAAACTGCCGGCCTGTGGGCTGGATGCATCATAGCGAAATCACGCCCACCCCATTGCCGGCAATGGCAAAAAAGTCACAATATGTCGTGACATGTCAATGTGACATTGCGAGTTTGACACCCCTACTCTAGATAACAGCTTAACAGCTCACTCAAATTATATAGAATTCAAAACACATATTACACACACACTAGAGAAAAAAAAGTCAGACCTTTCCAACTATTGGCAGATCTACAGATCCCCATGTATCTGCTCCCCAGTGCACTAAACCAGATACAAAGTCAGCAGTAATGACTCCTGCAACTTTAAGAGACAAGGGGAAGGAGGGATAGAAAAGTGAAGTATTAGACATTTGGAGCAATACAAAGATAGTGATTTTTAAAGAATATCAATAAAACAGAGGTACTGTTTTGACAGATACTTAACAGCCAGTAATGGTGATGCTTTTCCAAAATAAACCATTCAAACATGTGGCAGCACCTGGTCAACTTTATAGAGTAATGTACAGGCTTAGAAGCAAAGCAAGAGTGGGCCTAATTAGTACTTGTAGGGGAGCCCACCAAGGATTATCAGGGTAATAGGCTAGACTGGAAAGCTAAAACAATATCCTAGACCTAGAAAATGACAATGGCAAGGCCCTTCCATATTGTCAGGAAACTTACAGGTCTACATGGTCCCAACAATCAAGCTCAAATCAAAGAAGACCTTAATTTTGATCACCACAAACCGTGGGCCTTTTCAAAGTCCAAACCCAGTCAATTAAAATAATGCAGTCTATTTTGTGTACAATATACAAGTAAGCTTTTGGAAGATGTTATTTCCCAACTTCATAACCCACAAGCATTCATAAGTATAAATAAGCATTTCCAAAATGCAACACACCTACATGCTTATTTTTCATAGCCCTTACAGTACACTATACATAAAAGTCTCCTCTGAGCTGGGATCTGGTGACTTCAAAGTCATATTGTCATTTTGGGGACAACAACACTGAAGCGATCTCCCACTGCCTTTTTCTGGGATATTTATTAATTTTATTTTATTCAGGTTCTAGGATATATTTTGAGTTGGTTCATACTTTCTTCACAGACAATGATGAATAACTGGTTTGAGCTTGTTAGGAGTGACAGACTTCTGCCAACAATGCAACACTTAAAACAAGATTCATTAAATCAATGGCTAAATAATTTATGTCTGATTAAAACACGTGTTTTGTTGAGAAAGCTTATTGTGCAGGAAATAAGACATTGACTATTGGGAGGTACAGAAATGTGATTTTAACTGAATCTGGTCACCCATTATCCAAACAGGGTGATTAACAACTGCTAGGTTTATTCCAAGGAGGTTGATCTTAAAAACTTTTAAAAGCATTTATCGGGCCTTTACTGTGTATACATACAATATAATAGAGTCTCTTACCAATGAAAGCTTGAAATTACCTTCAAAAACAAAGCAGCACTATGTTCATTTTTGAACTATGCAGCAGTGTTTCACAATCTTGGCAACCTGAAGAAGAGTGGACTTCAATTTCCAGAATTCTCCAGCAACCATTAACAGTCTCTATAATCAGAGGGCTGGAGCTCATGTGTTCCCCCAAGCAGCTAATAAAAATGAGCCTCTATACTCGGTGATCCAGCCCAAATATTCGCATAGTAATGCAACTCTTTGCTTTAAGAGCACAATTTGTCAGATTTTGATCAGAGAATAGTCAAAGGGCTTAAGCAGATCCCTTAAATTAAAAAGCCCTAGCATTAAAAAAAAAAAAAAAAGGAAGGGTCACAAAATAAAGGTTAATTACAATGTGGAAAGGAATCTTTCTCTTGTTTCAGCTGGTGTAAGATACCAGGCTGCCCTTTTATCATTTTTTGGGGAGGCCAAGTTATAGATAATCATTGCTCAAAAGCTATAAGTAGCCATCAACCATCTTCTTATTGTAGTATTGTTTTATTATTAAAAGTTTGAAAACTAAATAGAACCTCTGAGATTGGTCAACAAACACATTACTATTAAAATAAAATACTCTAGTCCAGGGGTGTCCAATCTTGGTAACTTTAAGACTTGTGGACTTCAATTGCCCATGCTGGCTGGAAATTCTGGGAGCTGAAGTCCACAAGTCTTAAAGTTGCCAAAATTGGACACCCCTGAACTAATCATTATGAAACTTACTCTTCCTAGAAGTACCACTCATCCCAAAAAGGAAGCTGGTGTTAGTGGAAAGTTCCTTGTAGGCTGACAGATCCATAGCAATCGGTAGATTTTCAAATTCCATTACTCAGAGAATATATAATTTCATGCCTTCGCATAATTAATTATCCATTTAGCTTAGCCCTAATACAGTAGTTATGAAGGAAGATTTTAGATTTTTTTTTCATTTTCAGAAATGAAAAAATCCAAACATGGTTTTTGAATATAGTTTTCTCTTCCATTTAGGCTACAAAAGAAAGATGATTATCCCCCATTTAGCAAAACTTTAGATCAGGAAAAGAGGCAAGGAGATAAGAGCTTACTTGCAACTATGTATAGCATTTTCTTTAGCCATCTGCAGAAATGAATAACACAAGTTGAACTGTTTTCTTATAAAGCCCAGCAGGCATGGTTAACTCCCCCCTCCCATTTAAGGGGGCCATTGCATCTAAAGCAGACCTTGTGAACCAAACTTTTACAGGCCCTCTGATCCCCATCAAAACAAAGGAATGCACAAATACAAGTATACACAAAATAATTTCCTTGCAGAATCATATCAGACAAGTAAGATGTCTGAATACTTTTTTCCTCAATCTAAAATGATTCTGAAGGACAAAGCACATAATTGTTTTGAGTGCATTGACTAAAAGTAAAAAAACGAACTGTAAACATGGGCTCCAAAACCAGGATTGGGATTCATGGGAAAGAGCTAAACGTGCTTGAAAAAGAAGACATATGACATTGGTTGCAAATATGGTTTTATCAGAGCAGATGTTTTCCCTGCCTGTAATACTGAATGCTTCTTTTATTGTTAGGATTAGATTTATGGTTTCATGTGTTACTATTTGTCAATGCCTTGCATGTAGATGGGTGATGTAAAAATGGAAAGAGATTACAAAAGGGGCGTTGTCTTACCTGAACGCCTCTTCTCAGAAAGGAGATGGAGAATCCACCAATGGGTTAGCTCTGTCTTCCTGCCCATTAGTCAGCCAAACTTGCCATGCCTGTCCTGGGCTAAAATGGGCAGGAAGACAGAGCTAACCCATTGGTGGATTCTCCATCTCCTGTGCTGGAGAATCTGGGAATCCACTCTAATAAGCTTTCTGCAGGGCAATACAGGTAACTACGAAAGCCTGCAATCAGATATTAGCAAACTTAAACAGCAATCAACAGACCCAGGATGCCAGAATGCAATTATGACACAATTTGGCAGGGTCAGAGCCATACTCTCACCAATTAGTTCTGAGAACTACACCTGAAGTACAAGACTCTAGATTCCTGTTGTCTGCTAACACCGGTGGAAATGTTTAAGTGCTAAGTTAGAAAACATTACAGACGTATGTCAAAGCTACCGTCAATCTCTGAAGGGAGACAGGAAAATAAAACTGGGGATCACCCAAGCTATAGTCCAATTTATTTTGGCAGCACTTGGCTGGAAAAAGTTGCACCCAAACTGGGAAGAGACAGATGACATATTCAGCTTATAGAACTGGAGATGGTAACAGCTATGTTATCAGCCAGTAGCTATGTCAGGAATGAGACCACCACGCTCATAAAAGCTTAACAGGGGACAAAGTTACAGGAAGATGCCTTGTTCTAAACAAGGCATCTCCTCCTTTCTAAATCCTCTTCCAGATTAAGCCTCTGCTTTAGTCAAGCCTGCTTGGAACGTGTTGCAACATCATGGGTCTCTAAAAACAGAAGCTCTACGCCAGGGGTAGGCAACCTCAGCTCTTTTATGACTCATAGACTTCAACTCCCAGAATTCCTGAGCCAGCATAGCCAAGCATCTGAATTTTGATCACATGATCATGGGAATGCTGGAGAAAAGTCATAACTGAAAAATGGTCTTAAGTCACTTTTTTCAGTGGTGTTATAACTTTGAATGGTCGCTAAACAAATGTTGTAAGTCAAGGGCTACTTATATCAACTCTATAACTTTTTACAATAGAAAATCCCATCTAGCAAGATTTCTAGAACAGTTATCACCAGCTTTCACCCTTACCTCCATCATTCTTCTACTGCATAGGTCCTCTGCCAAAATTCCTGACAGACTCTCATTTATGCTGGAAAAAGAATATGAATGGGAGGCAGTTTCTCCCATGGATGCTTTCCCTCTCCAAGAATCTGTGTTTCCTAGCTGCCCCTATTCTTGCATGATGAGTCAAAAAGAAAGAGAGACGCGGCCAAGAAACATGCCAAGATGAGTCCTAAATGGGAGTCACAGCCCTATTTGGAAACAAATATTCCCCAAACCCTTACTGTATGAAACAAAGTAAGTCAGAATTTAAGATACAACTTTGTACTGATAATGAATTTGTGTTCTAAGGTTTTGATGAACAGGATGGATTATAGAAAGAAGAGTGATATGATGTAACTTTTAGAGAGAAGTTAAAATATATTTGTACTTATAACTGCATCACCGTTTGATTGGGTGGTAGCAGTGCCTCAGATAGAAGGCCCATATAGAGAGTGGTAAAGACAGTTGAGAAGATGATAGAAAGTCCACTTCCCATTATTCAGGATGCTGCTTTTAAGCGCTATGTGCTTAGAGCTCAAAGGATTGTTAAAGACCCCATACATCCATTTCACAGTCTGTTTCTGTTACTCCCCTCTGGGAGGAGGTTTCAAAGTATTTCTAGCAGGACTGTCCGATTCTGTAACATTTTTGTCCCCTCTGCCAGGGCTTTTCAATTGGTGATACGCGAACCACCGGTGGTACTTTGGCACCTGGCAGGTGGTACGCAACCATTCTAGAGAAGTAGCGGGGGGGGGCAGAGAAATGAGCTGGAGTGGCGGCAGTGCCACACAAGTCTGAGGGAGAGACAGCTGAAGCTGCAGGGCTATCGGGGGCTTGGCAGAAGTCCCAGGATCAGCGCCGGGCTCCAGTTGATCGGCGCTTCCAGAAGCTGGAAGTGCCCTGAAGAGAAGAGAGGGGGGAGAGAGGAGCGGATATAAAAGGAAGTTTTGGCGGAAAAGGGCCAGTGCGGGGATGCCCCTGCCCCGTGGGCACGCGAAGAGTAGGCAGCAAGTGCCCAGCATCCCTGCTGACTACTGAGAAAGAAGGAGAAGTGCTTCCTTTTCCCCCAGGATGCCAGAGCTCACCACCTTCTCTGTGC